CTCTGTCTCCCAGGTTCTTGAGAGTGGCCTTTAGCTGCTCGCTGTTCGGCCTCGCGTCAGCCAGCAACGCCAAGTAGCGAAACGGCCTGACCCATACACATGAACATGCGACAATGCCTCTAACGAGTGTGGGCTTGTGGGCATGGCTGACCTCAGTTGGGCAACAAAGTCGCCCCTCTTGCCGTTCGACGCCACGAGCTGCCTCCAAGGACCGAGAGGCGCCTTGTCGCCCTTCTTGGGGTCGGACAGGAAGGACTGGTCGGCCTTGAGCTCCGCCAGCCGCCTCTCGACGTCAAACATGACGGGGTTGACGGCGCTCTCGTCGGTCTTGGCCGAGGAGGTGGTTGAGTCGGGTGCCCTGTCGCCCCCCTCTGCTGACTCGGTCTGCTGGTCGAGCATCTCCACCATCAGCTTGTCGTACTTGTGACGCAGCTCCTCCTCATCTGATGGGACCAACCATCCATCGCAGAAAAGCTCTCGTGTGTGGCTGGTGGAGGAATGGGTGGGTGGGCAGGCAATGCCTGCCTGCCGGCCTACCGTTCATAAGGCTGCCTTCCATCCTTTGGTTGAACTCCCGCGCCTTGTTGAGCAGCCGCCTCTCAGACGCAGTCCACGCAAACACGGGCGCGGTCGGCACTGTGACGTTAGTAGAGGCCAGGGATTGCACCTTCTCCAGGTCCGCCCGGCTGTCCTGCGGGCTGGGCCCCGTCAACAGCACCTGCGCCCCAGCGTGTGAGCTGAGCCGATCATGCAGCAGCCGCAGGCGGATCTCCATGTCACTGCAGTAGCAAGCCAAAGGACACAGGACAGGCACAGCTGCTGGATCTGGCGGCGATCGGTTAGGTTAGATCGTTTGGTTGCGTACACACCGATGGAGGATCCGCGCCTGCACGAAGTTGTTTTGCCGTTCTGCTTCGTATTTTCTCCTCTGCAGGTGGTCGACCTCCCTGAGCGCCTCCAGACACCCCCTGAAGTATGCCTCGTGGGCCGCAAGCCGCCGCCTGGCGCTGTAGAGCTCCTTCTGGATCTGCTCTGTGGACGCCTCGTCACCTGAGCAGTGGTGGCAGGCAGGCAGACAACAAACAAGCGGTGGCTGGTTCTGCCTGCCGTCGATGTGCTGTGGGGCGCTGACTGACCCCATTCCATCGCAGCTCTGAAGGACTCCTCAAGTTTGGTGACTTGTCTGTGGTAGTGGGTGCCCTGCAGCTGGGCAAGGGCGGCGCGGAGGATGGAGCTGCGCTTCGCCTCCTGCACACGTGATCCATCCATCCATCCATCAGACCCGCTGACTGCCACCTCCCACCCTTCTCACCATGAGTATCTCCTGCATAACGATGAGCTTGTAGTAGCCTGCACACCACACGCGTACAAACAAACGCTCACATGGGTGATCCGATCACATCCACTCACGAATCTATGCCTCCCTGCCTGCCAAGCGTTGCATTTGAACAGACCTTGAGGGAGTCCGCACTCTCCAGCGCCCTCTGTGCAATGGCAATCCACAGCTCAAGAGTCGTGTTCTTGGTGGCCACGGCGCTCTCACACAGCCGCCGCAGGTCGCTGCTCTTCATGGTCTTGATGTGGTCCAGCTCAGGATACCGCATCAGCTTCTGACCGCCGCCTATGTCGATCTCCAAGTCGGGAGAGGGAGAGGCCTTGATGGGCATCGCATCAGGGAAGGCGGCAGGGGAGTGAGTGTCCACCGCAGCAGTGCTGAAGGAGCGAACTGCCTGGCGGAGGCTGATCTTCCATCTTCGTGAGGCTGCGCTGCTGCAGATGCGTAATGCCATCACTGGATCCATGTGGTTTCTAGGGATAAAAAAAAGGAGGGACCGAATCTGTGCGAGATCAGCTTCAGTTTTGCTTGCGCTTAAGTTGTTAAGTTGGTTCAGCCATCAGCTTCAGGGGCGCTTCACTTTTCAGTTGGTTTGCAGTGGTTGTTTCACATCGCTGTGAGTTCGTTGAGCCAAGCGCACTGCACGCACATCGGGGCGAACCGAATCGGTGCACTGCGGGTGTATCACCCCGTTGTGAGCGGCATGCCCATCAAGCTGTGTGCTGGGCTGCATGCCACCGACCTGAAGCTGCACTCATGCACCGTCGAACACGCGGTAAGCAGAAGGGAGGGCAGCCACATAGACAGACAGACGGACGACAGACAGCAAAGAAGTCATCAAAAACGGCACGCTTACGCATTGAGTTCAGGCCGAGTACTTCACCGGGTACTTCAGGGAGGCCATTGGCGCGGGCAACCTGGGCATCCCCATATCCGCCGACCAAATCGCTCTTTATCGCTGCACTGAGGTGCACCCCAAGGCCCACGGGCAGGACCACACTGCCCCGTCGAGTGCATCCACTGACCGCATCGAGGAGGGGGAGGTCATCATGGCGACCCTTCCCAACAATAGCGGTAAGCGCACCACGCAGGCAGCCCGACGAGAGAGAGAGGGAATGAGGGAATGAGTGAGTGCTCTGTCTGTATGCTATGCTTCCTTCGCTGGCTGTCTGGCTGCAGTGTTTGGTTCTCAGCATGCGGATGACATGTTGGCCAAGGCCCGGCACT